AATGGGGAGAAATCAGAATGGGGAGAAATCAGAGTGGGGAAGCGTCACGAGCGGTGTTCCACAGAGGTCAGTGTTGGGCCCCCTACATAAACGACATAGATGAGGGCACAAAGAGCGACATCAGCAAGTTTGCCGATGACACCAAAATAGGCCGTCGAATTCATTCTGACGAGGACATTAGAGCACTCCAGGAAGATTTGAATAGACTGATGCAGTGGTCGGAGAAGTGGCAGATGCAGTTTAATTTAGACAAATGCAAAATTCTAAATGTTGGACAGGACAATAACCATGCCACATATAAACTAAATAATGTAGATCTTAATATTATTTTTTTTATTTTTTTTATTATCACACTGGCCGATTCCCACCAAGGCAGGGTGGCCCGAAAAAGAAAAACTTTCACCATCATTCACTCCATCACTGTCTTGCCAGAAGGGTGCTTTACACTACAGTTTTTAAACTGCAACATTAACACCCCTCCTTCAGAGTGCAGGCACTGTACTTCCCATCTCCAGGACTCAAGTCCGGCCTGCCGGTTTCCCTGAATCCCTTCATAAATGTTACTTTGCTCACACTCCAACAGCACGTCAAGTATTAAAAACCATTTGTCTCCATTCACTCCTATCAAACACGCTCACGCATGCCTGCTGGAAGTCCAAGCCCCTCGCACACAAAACCTCCTTTACCCCCTCCCTCCAACCCTTCCTGGGCCCGACCCCTACCCCGCCTTCCTTCCACTACAGACTGATACACTCTTGAAGTTATTTTGTTTCGCTCCATTCTCTCTACATGTCCGAACCACCTCAACAACCCTTCCTCAGCCCTCTGGACAACAGTTTTGGTAATCCCGCACCTCCTCCTAACTTCCAAACTACGAATTCTCTGCATTATATTCACACCACACATTGCCCTCAGACATGACATCTCCACTGCCTCCAGCCTTCTCCTCGCTGCAACATTCATCACCCATGCTTCACACCCATATAAGAGCGTTGGTAAAACTATACTCTCATACATTCCCCTCTTTGCCTCCAAGGACAAAGTTCTCTGTCTCCACAGACTCCTAAGTGCACCACTCACTCTTTTTCCCTCATCAATTCTATGATTCACCTCATCTTTCATAGACCCATCCGCTGACACGTCCACTCCCAAATATCTGAATACGTTCACCTCCTCCATACTCTCTCCCTCCAATCTGATATTCAATCTTTCATCACCTAATCTTTTTGTTATCCTCATAACCTTACTCTTTCCTGTATTCACCTTTAATTTTCTTCTTTTGCACACCCTACCAAATTCATCCACCAATCTCTGCAGCTTCTCTTCAGAATCTCCCAAGAGCACAGTGTCATCAGCAAAGAGCAGCTGTGACAACTCCCACCCTGTGTGTGATTCTTTATCTTTTAACTCCACGCCTCTTGCCAAGACCCTCGCATTTACTTCTCTTACAACCCCATCTATAAATATATTAAACAACCACGGTGACATCACACATCCTTGTCTAAGGCCTACTTTTACTGGGAAAAAATTTCCCTCTTTTCTACATACTCTAACTTGAGCCTCACTATCCTCGTAAAAACTCTTCACTGCTTTCAGTAACCTACCTCCTACACCATACACTTGCAACATCTGCCACATTGCCCCCCTATCCACCCTGTCATACGCCTTTTCCAAATCCATAAATGCCACAAAGACCTCTTTAGCCTTATCTAAATACTGTTCACTTATATGTTTCACTGTAAACACCTGGTCCACACACCCCCTACCTTTCCTAAAGCCTCCTTGTTCATCTGCTATCCTATTCTCGGTCTTACTCTTAATTCTTTCAATTATAACTCTACCATACACTTTAAACCAGGTACACTCAACAGACTTATCCCCCTATATTTTTGCACTCTCTTTTATCCCCTTTGCCTTTATACAAAGGAACTATGCATGCTCTCTGCCAATCCCTAGGTACCTTACCCTCTTCCATACATTTATTAAATAATTGCACCAACCACTCCAAACTATATCCCCACCTGCTTTTAACATTTCTATCTTTATCCCATCAATCCCTGCTGCCTTACCCCCTTTCATTTTACCTACTGCCTCACGAACTTCCCCCACACTCACAACTGGCTCTTCCTCACTCCTACAAGATGTTATTCCTCCTTGCCCTATACACGAAATCACAGCTTCCCTATCTTCATCAACATTTAACAATTCCTCAAAATATTCCCTCCATCTTCCCAATACCTCTAACTCTCCATTTAATAACTCTCCTCTCCTATTTTTAACTGACAAATCCATTTGTTCTCTAGGCTTCCTTAACTTGTTAATCTCACTCCAAAACTTTTTCTTATTTTCAACAAAATTTGTTGATAACAGCTCACCCACTCTCTCATTTGCTCTCTTTTTACATTGCTTCACCACTCTCTTAACCTCTCTCTTTTTCTCCATATACTCTTCCCTCCTTGCATCACTTCTACTTTGTAAAAACTTCTCATATGCTAACTTTTTCCCCTTACTACTCTCTTTACATCATCATTCCACCAATCACTCCTCTTCCCTCCTGCACCCACTTTCCTGTAACCACAAACTTCTGCTGAACACTCTAACACTACATTTTAAACCTACCCCATTCCTCTTCGACCCCATTGCCTATGCTCTCATTAGCCCATCTATCCTCCAATAGCTGTTTATATCTTACCCTAACTGCCTCCTCTTTTAGTTTATAAACCTTCACCTCTCTCTTCCCTGATGCTTCTATTCTCCTTGTATCCCATCTACCTTTTACTCTCAGTGTAGCTACAACTAGAAAGTGATCTGATATATCTGTGGCCCCTCGATAAACATGTACATCCTGAAGTCTACTCAACAGTCTTTTATCTACCAATACATAATCCAACAAACTACTGTCATTTCGCCCTACATCATATCGTGTATACTTATTTATCCTCTTTTTCTTAAAATATGTATTACCTATAACTAAACCCCTTTCTATACAAAGTTCAATCAAAGGGCTCCCATTATCATTTACACCTGGCACCCCAAACTTACCTACCACACCCTCTCTAAAAGTTTTCTCCTACTTTAGCATTCAGGTCCCCTACCACAATTACTCTCTCACTTGGTTCAAAGGCTCCTATACATTCACTTAACATCTCCCAAAATCTCTCTCTCTCCTCTGCATTCCTCTCTTCTCCAGGTGCATACACGCTTATTATGACCCACTTCTCGCATCCAACCTTTACTTTAATCCACACAATTCTCGAATTTACACATTCATATTCTCTTTTCTCCTTCCATAACTGATCATTTAACATTACTGCTACCCCTTCCTTTGCTCTAACTCTCTCAGATACTCCAGATTTAATCCCATTTATTTCCCCCCACTGAAACTCTCTTACCCCCTTCAGCTTTGTTTCGCTTAGAGCCAGGACATCCAACTTCTTTTCATTCATAACATCAGCAATCATCTGTTTCTTGTCATCCGCACTACATCCACGCACATTTAAACACCCAGTTTTATAAAGTTTTTCTTCTTCTCTTTTTTAGTAAATGTATACAGGAGAAGGGTTACTAGCCCATTGCTCCCGGCATTTTAGTCGCCTCATACGACACGCATGGCTTACGGAGGAAAGATTCTTTTCCACTTCCCCATGGACAATAGAAGAAATAAAAAAGAACAAGAGCTATTTAGAATAAGGAGAAAAACCTAGATGTATGTATATATATATATGCATGTGCGTGTCTGTGAAGTGTGACCAAAGTGTAAGTAGGAGTAGCAAGATATCCCTGTTATCTAGCGTGTTTATGAGACAGAAAAAGAAAACCAGCAATCCTACCATCATGCAAAACAGTTACAGGTTTTTGTTTCACAGTCATCTGGCAGGACGGTAGTACTTCCCTGGGTGGTTGCTGTCTACCAACCTACTACATGAATATTACGGATTGCAAAAAAGATTTAGGAGTTCTGGTTAGCAGTAATCTGAAACCAAGACAACAGTGCATAAGTGTTCGCAATAAAGCTAATAGAATCCTTGGCTTCATATCAAGAAGCATAAATAATAGGAGTCCTCAGGTTGTTCTTCAACTCTATACATCCTTGGTTAGGCCTCATTTAGATTATGCTGCACAGTTTTGGTCACCGTATTACAGAATGGATATAAATGCTCTGGAAAATGTACAAAGGAGGATGACAAAGTTGATCCCATGTATCAGAAACCTTCCCTATGAGGATAGACTAAGGGCCCTGAATCTGCTCTCTCTAGAAAGACGTAGAATTAGGGGGGATATGATTGAGGTGTATAAATGGAAGACAGGAATAAATAAAGGGGATGTAAATAGTGTGCTGAAAATATCTAGCCTAGACAGGACTCGCAGCAATGGTTTTTAAGTTGGAAAAATTCAGATTCAGGAAGGATATAGGAAAGTACTGGTTTGGTAACAGAGTTGTGGACGAGTGGAACAAACTCCCAAGTACAGTTATAGGGGCCAGAACGTTGTGTAGCTTTAAAAATAGGTTGGATAAATACACGAGTGGATGTGGGTGGGTGTGAGTTGGACCTGATAGCTTGTGCTACCAAGTCGGTTGCCGTGTTTCTCCCTTAAGTCAATGTGACCTGACTAGGTTGGGTGCATTGTCTTAAGCCGGTAGGAGACTTGGACCTGCCTCGCATGGGCCAGTAGGCCTGCTGCAGTGTTCCTTCGTTCTTATGTTAACTAAGAGGGTCATCTGAAATGCAATGCTAAGGCATTTTTGGAAAGCCAGCTAGAGAATGAACTATCTTTGGATAACTTACCTTAGTGAGAAATGGCTTGTGTTATTAAAGAAAAAAAAAAAAAGCCAGTTATGCTAAGTAGCTTGAACTAATGTCCTGGGACCTATATCACCTCTAATAAATATGTCCTAGTGTTTGCTTATGTTTTTTCTAGACTAACTTGTTGCTATTTATTACCACGGTTTATATCAGCTTGAACTGATGAGCATAAATACAGTATTGTCATGCACTTACAGTTAATACTTCTTCTAAATCCCTTTTTATTATTTCCAAATTTGGTGGATGATTGTAGCATTCTGCATAAGACTGTACAAACTTGTCCAAAGACAGACAACACAATGGCTCATTCCAAAGAAGATGTCGTGCCTTTAGCATCACTTCATGTACATAACCACGATCAACTAGGTTTACAATGGGTTCATCTCCACCATCAACCATCTGAAATGCAAGAGGAATATTACATTACTGGGTTAGTGCTAAACTTTTAGGGCATTTACAGCACCTGGGGAATGAAATCAGTAATTTGGTTTTATTCAAGGAAGAGGGTAGCTCCAATTCCCTGGATCAGGAGAACTTCAGCATCAAGGTACTTCCTTTGAAGGGTGCATAAGAAAAATGGGTTAAGATACATACGAGGCACTTGGAAAATAACAGCAGAATTCTGATTTTATATTCATGGTGAAGTGCTAAACCTGTAGGTATACGTTTTTTTTTTTTTATTATTATTACCTAGCAAGCACATAGGAGCCATGACAACTCCATTAATACTTGACTCAACCTCACCTGCTGGCAGGGTTTCCTAAAGTAACCTAGTGTCAAGAAAATGCCATATTTGCCATGACAATTTTTCCTGCGTATGTGAATGTAAACATTTAAATTTTACCCAACACGTATACTCAAATTCCTTAATCAGAAAATTATAACTACCAACCTTAACATGATTTCTTAATTTTCCTATGAGCTCTTCCAGAGAATTTGATCCATAATGGTCAGGTTTGAGGGAATATCCATAGTAACGTGTGAACACTTGAGTAAGGGCAGAGATTCTAATTGCTTGATGTGGAGCGCCTTTAACAACAGCGCTAACCTGGTCCCCCAGTACCTTTATACGTTCACGTTCCACAAGCTGCAGTTGCTTCTCACCATCTTCATCATCATCATACACCTGAAAGTATCCAAGTTAATATACCTCAACCTTAAGAAAGTAAAATTTTTATCTTTTCCTAAACTTAATTTTTTGAATTGATAATTGTACTGTGTTCACATGAATAAACATGGTACTGGAACAGCATTATGTAAATTATTAATCTGGCACTAAATCCAACTTAACCTTGCTAAATTTTATATAAAGGCTTAATCCTAGTTAAAATTACCACAAATTTAATTATGACAAATCATTTCAGAGAGGGGTTAAAAGGGAGGAAGATGGGTGGAATGGGGAGAAGGGTATGAGAAAGAAAAAGGACTACTTAATGTGCTGCTTTATAATTAACTTAGGACTGTCAAATTCTTAATGCCCCCGGATGAACCCGGCCACCGTGCCAGCCCCCCCACCAGACGACCCCGGCCACTGTGCCGGCCCCCCCACCGGACGACCCTGGCCACCATGCCCCCCCGGATGACCCCGGCCACCGTGCCGCCGCCCCCACCGGACGACCCCGGCCACCGTGCTGCCCCCCCACCGGACGACCCCGGCCACCGTGCTGCCCCCCCACCGGACGACCCCGGCCACCGTGCTGCCCCCCCACCGGACGACCCCGGCCACCGTGCTGCCCCCCCACCGGACGACCCCGGCCACCGTGCTGCCCCCCCACCGGACGACCCCGGCCACCGTGCTGCCCCCCACCGGACAACCCCGGCCACCGTGCCAGGCCTCCCCCACTGGACGACCCCGGCCACCGTGCTGGGCCCCTCACCAGATGACCCCGGCCATCATGCCGAGCCACCCCCACCAGACCCCGGCCACCGTGCCGGCCCCCAACCAGACGACCCCGGCCACCGTGCCGGCCCCCAACCAGACGACCCCGGCCACCGTGCCGGCCCCCAACCAGACGACCCTGGCCACCATGTTGACCTGGGACGGCCCAACCAGAAATGCCGACCTGGGACGGCCCAACCAGAAATGCCGACCTGGGACGGCCCAACCAGAAATGCCGACCTGGGACGGCCCAACCAGAAATGCCGACCCGGGACGGCCCAACCAGAAATGCCGACCTGGGACGGCCCAACCAGAAATGCCGACCTGGGACGGCCCAACCAGAAATGCCGACCCGGTACACCCCTTCCACCACCAGGATGACTACCTGGTACACCCCTTCCACCACCAGGATGACTACCTGGTACACCCCTTCCACCACCAGGATGACTACCTGGTACAACCCCTTCCACCACCAGGATGACTACCTGGTACACCCTCTCACCACCAGGATGACTACCTGGTACACCCCTCCACCACCAGGATGACTACCTGGTACACCCCTCCACCACCAGGATGACTACCTGGTACACCCCTCCACCACCAGGATGACTACCTGGTACACCCCTCCACCACCAGGATGACTACCTGGTACACCCCTCCACCACCAGGATGACTACCTGGTACACCCCTCCACCACCAGGATGACTACCTGGTACAACCCCTCCACCACCAGGATGACTACCTGGTACACCCCTCCACCACCAGGATGACTACCTGGTACACCCCTCCACCACCAGGATGACTACCTGGTACACCCCTCCACCACCAGGATGACTACCTGGTACACCCCTCCACCACCAGGATGACTACCTGGTACACCCCTCCACCACCAGGATGACTACCTGGTACACCCCTCCACCACCAGGATGACTACCTGGTACACCCCTCCACCACCAGGATGACTACCTGGTACACCCCTCCACCACCAGGATGACTACCTGGTACACCCCTCCACCACCAGGATGACTACCTGGTACACACCCCTCCACCACCAGGATGACTACCTGGTACACCCCTCCACCACCAGGATGACTACCTGGTACACCCCTCCACCACCAGGATGACTACCTGGTACACCCCTCCACCACCAGGATGACTACCTGGTACACCCCTCCACCACCAGGATGACTACCTGGTACACCCCTCCACCACCAGGATGACTACCTGGTACACCCCTCCACCACCAGGATGACTACCTGGTACACCCCTCCACCACCAGGATGACTACCTGGTACACCCCTCCACCACCAGGATGACTACCTGGTACACCCCTCCACCACCAGGATGACTACCTGGTACACCCCTCCACCACCAGGATGACTACCTGGTACACCCCTCCACCAGGATGACTACCTGGTACACCCCTCCACCACCAGGAGGGGTGTACTCTTCGGGGAAGCCCAGTGGCGAGAGGCGTGACTCTCACCACTGGGGTCCAGGGTTCGAAACCCGGAAGTACTAGAAAAAAAAAATATGGAAACTGTAGGCCAGTGGCGAGAGGTGCGACTCTCACCGCTGGTGTCCAGGGTACGAGAACCAGACGAACTATGATTCTACCACCAGGATGATGACCCGGCACACCCCGCAACCAGGATGGTGACCCGGCACATCCCCCCCAACCAGGATGTCGACCCGGCACCCCCCCAACCAGGATGTCGACCCGGCACCCCCCAACCAGGATGATGACCCGGCACATCCCCCAACCAGGATGACGACCCGGCACATCCCCCAACCAGGATGATGACCCGGCACATCCCCCAACCAGGATGATGACCCGGCACATCCCCCAACCAGGATGATGACCCGGCACATCCCCCAACCAGGATGATGACCCGGCACATCCCCAACCAGGATGACGACCCGGCACACCCCCCCGCAACCAGGATGACGACCCAGCACACCCCCCCAACCAGGATGACGACCAGGCACACCCCCCAACCAGGATGACCCGGCACACCCCCAACCAGGATAATGACCTGGCATGACCTAAGCCACTATGTGACCCAAGGCTGTCGTGGGTAACCATCCACTTACTCGCATGGACCAACTCTTCTGGTAGATACCCTCTTGCTTGCATGGCCAAGTTCCTTGGGTATACCTTTACCTTTGATGAGTTCTGCATCTTTCTACTCCCAGAGCCTGGCCATGGGCCAGGCTCATCTGGTGCTACCCTGGTCAACGAGAATGCTGCTACTGGTGGTCTGCTGACCCCCAAATCCATCACAGCCTGGTGATCTGGCACCTGGTGAAGCTATTTGCCCAGTTTCCTCTTGAAGACTTATTTGTCCCAGCAGTGGTTGATATCTTCTGGTAAAATGTTTAATAATCAGGAGCTATGGATATTGATAGTGTTCCCTTTAAGAACAAAAAGTTGCACTACTGTGACTGGAACAATACACAAATAACCTGTGCATGGGAGACAGAAGCTTATGACGAACCATTAGTCGTAGAAGTAAAGTGAAGCAACTTCCTAGACTTACTCCACTTTACATCTATGACTACCACTCCATTACCACTACTATTGCCTCCCTTCACCCCTTTCTGTCTACTGTGCCACTAAAACTACTCCCCTACTTTCTAATACTTCTACTGGTACTACTTCCACTACCAGCATTAACTGCTTCTGCTACTACTTTCTTCTCTGTCCCATCCCAGTGTCCCCTTGCCTACATACACTGACTTACGTGTTAGTGTTACTTGTAAATGATCCAAGTTGGACCAAAATGTCATAAGCCTCTCTCTCCTATATGTAGGTTATTTGTGCAGTGTTCCCTTATTAATATGCCCACTACACTTCTGCATTTCACCGGGTTTATTTTGTGCTTCCATCTCACTCCAGTATGTTATGCAAGTGGGCAGATTTGGTACCAAGCCCTCAAGTACTTTCCAGGTATATATTATCACGTATCTCTCTCCTCTGATCCAGCAAGTACGTAGTATTTAAGATAAGCCATTCATGTAACTGAAATGCTTTATTGGCTCTATGTGGGCCATAAATGATCTATTTGTTCCAACTCTGATATTTCTCCTGCCCTGAATGGGGCTGTCAACACTGAGCAATATTACAAATGAGGGAGCACTAGCAATTTGGAAAGTGTCACTAATGGAATGGTTTCCCTTGTTTTGAAGGTTTTCATTACCCACCTCATCATCCTCCTGGCTGTTGTGACCTTTGTATTATTGTGTTCTTTGAAAGAAAGGTTAGCTGACAATCATTCCCAAGTTTTTCATGTGTTCCTTTCATTCTATTTGACGATCCTCTTGAGTTTTGTATACAGCGTTCCTTTTAAGTTCTTCAGTCTTTCCATACCTAAGCAACTGGAACTTACTACCACTGTTCTCTGCTGCCCACTGAAAAAACACCACTTACATCTTCCTGCAATTTTTCAGTGTCTTCTACCAAAGTGACTTTCATGCTTATTTTAGTGTCATGTCATATGAATCAACTCCTCAGGTAGCTACCCATTTCCCAGTAATTTTTACTTAGTACAAATGGAAATTGGTCTGTAAACCTATTTTTTCACCACTTCTCACAATTTTTTCTTTACAAATTTGATTTTTTTCAGGAATGAAACCCCTTGTTATGAGAGCATTTTCTGTACAGCTTTTTTTCCCCCAAGGTATCAATAGGTACATCAATATCTTATACTTAACATTGAAGTTTTCTTACACAGGCTACGACATTCCAACAGAATTGGTTTTTCAACATTATTTTCCAAGGAAGGGAAGAGTAACTAATTAGCTGAATAAGAGAACTTGACCAGCATCAAAGCAACTCCATGTATAAAATTTTACAAGTGAAAGGAAATCAAAGGAAATGAATTTTCACATTACCTGTAAGATGTCCGGAATAGCTTCAAAGAGCTCAATGAGCTTACTGAAGCCATAATCTGCTACTCTACACTGTCTTCCAAAGTGATGATGGTAAGCAGGTATAAATCTATTGAACTGCATCTTGCACTGCGGAGAGTGACGCAACAGCTCCACCACTTCTGCTGCAAATTGCCGAGTTCTTTCAATTTCTTCTGGAGTTTGTTCTCGCTTGGGAATGGCTATTGTAGTTTCCATGCCAGATCTGGTGACAATCACAGTAGTTTCACTCACTTCAGCTAAAAGATCTTCGACATCACATACACCGTAATCTACGACATTCCATGGTCTTGTAAGAGCTTTCTCATAAGCACTGGGAAAGACTTCTAGAGTTATGGCTTTAGTGGGTTGACCCTTGAGAACTCTTAAAAGATCAGAAGAAAAGCGTTTAATTTGAGCCTTATGGGCTAGAGTGAGTATACGTTTGTTTCCATCTCCCAATACTTGGATGATGTGAGGAAGAGCATCAAAAAGATCAGCAAGCTTAGTGAATCCATAGTCGGCAACTCTACACTGTCGTCCAAAGTGGTGATGATAGGCAGGAATAAAGCGAGAAAATGGGAGCCGACAATGGGGGAAAGTTTTAAGAAGGTCCACGAGCTCGCGTGAGAACAGTGCTAGTTGTCCTACTAGAGGAGGACTTATGCATCGAGCTAACTCTTCTGCCTCATCAGTTACTTTGTTCTCTACCCACTGAATGTATTTAAAACCAACAGCAGCTGTCAATATACATACACCTGGCAGACAAGAGACCAGGTGCTCAAGGGGTACCCCATCCTCATATTCTTCAAGTGGACCAATTTGTGCTTGATAGCATTCAACCAAGCTAGCTAATGGAAGAGATCCTGAATGAGACTGCAACAAAGAGTGAATACTGGCAGCCAATGCTCGCAATGTCATGTTGACATTTGGTAGGCTGGCATTCTGATCACGCTCTGCCCATCCAATAGTCTCATCTGGGCCAAGACTGTGTTCCTTACAATACCTAGAAATATTTCCTTCAATTTCATCAGCAGATTCAGTTAATACTGGTGAATGAATATGTCGAAACTCAGGATGTAAAGACACCATTCTCCCAGTACTGTTATCGGAAACTGTAATTATATCTCTCATATTATACATTTCTGATACTCCTATGGTTTCATGAAATCTTTTTTCATAAAGTTCACGGAACTTAAACAGAGGAAGTTTCTTCCCAGGAACTTCATGGAGAAGGGCAATAACTTTAGACCTGAAGGAGAGAGTTAATGTGTGTTAAAAGAAGGTGCGTGTGCCTGTGCTAAAAGAATCTTTCAATATTACAATTAAAATTAATATTTAACAAGAAACTAACATACCTCTTCAATTCTGGGGAAGGTTGATTGTGATTGACGTACGAGATGATTATTCGTTTAGCACCAATCTTTTTGCGATGTAACTGAGAAATAGCATATTGTGCATCTTGCTGTGATGGAACACGCAAAGTTGCAGCCAAATTCCCGTCTGATTGCACAAACACTGAGACATGTAATACCTGGAAGAGGGTTAAGAACATAAGAAATAAGGAACACTGCAGTAGGCCTAGTGGCCCATGCGAGGCAGGTCCAATTCTCCCACCAGCTTAAGCCAATGCCTTAGCCTAGTCAGGTCAGCCACATTCACTTAAGAGGAGCATGGCATGCAAAGAAATGAGGAATACGAGGAATATATAATGAGAAATGCTCATGCCAAAATCAAAATTTTTTTTTTTTATTTCCCTGTGTGGTATACAAACTGTAGTTCCCACAAAGAAAGCCACTAACAGCAACGATGGCGATGTTTCGCCAGCCAGTGACCTTTCTCCAGTCCAACAGAAAGAATAAATATGGGAAGTGGAGAACATCGGTAAGTAGCCTATATACCGTTTAGAAGGAAACTTTATCGTTATAGTTATCCCTGCTGTTTTGCTGTTATGTTTTCCTAGTACTGTTTTTTTTTCTTACTGTTTTACGTGTCGTGGGCTCCACGCTGGTGCTGCGTACTCTACGATGGGACTAAAAACGAAAGGTTGATGAATGAGAGACTTATGTGACACTTGGGTACCTTCACTGGGGAAACGTTTTGCCCCTACCCCCCTCCCAGTGGTTTTTATCAGAGAAAACGCTGGAAGATGTGAAGAGTGTGAGGTAATCAGTCCCTGGAGGTGATGTCTTCAGTCCATAAAATATAAACGACTTAGAAATACTGTGTCAAACTTCAACTAAGAGTCGTCATTCTCCCATATGTTGACTTGTCCTCGCCTAATTGCTGTTGCATGGGTCGATTCATAGCTCCTGGCCATAGCTCGTGTATGTGTGTGCATTCTCTCACTGCTGCTGTTTGCATGTGTGAAATACAATCTCAGACTACATTTCAGACAGTCATATCTATGTCGAAGTATTTTCCTGAGTGCTTTTCTTTTCATTGGATTAAAGAATTGTACAGTACAATACTTAATTTCACATTTTTGTAGTAGTTTCAACTACAGTAAACACTTTGTATTAGTAAAAAAAAAGTTAGCTATTCATTTAATTTCTTTTAATACTAGGTCCATCCCCCACTGAAGTCAGGTGGCCTGACAAAGAAAACATTTTCCCTGTCATTGTCTTACCAGATGGGTGCTGACATCACAGTTCAGATGACCCTTAAACAAACATCCTCTCCCCACCCCATCCCACCTCCAGGACTCCCAGTCTGGCTAACCAGTTACCCTGAATCCTTTCATAAATGTCTTCCTCCTCACACTCCAACAATATGTCAAAAACTACTTTCTCCATTACTACCTAACATTCACAGAAGCCTGTTGGATGTCTAAGCCCTTAACACCTAAAGCTTCCTTTGCTCCCTCCCTCCAACCTTTCCTAGGACAATCCCTACCCCTCCTTCCCTCCACCCCAGATTTATATGACCTAGTCATCATTTTTCTCCAGCCTGTTTAAATATCCAAACTGGCTCAACTTCAGATTCCTGAATAATACTTTGTAACTCCCCATGTCCTCCTAATCTCCAAACTCTATATTCTCTGCACAACATTCACACCTCACATTGCCCTCAAACACCACACCTTTACTGCCTCCCACTTCCTCCTTGCTGCAACACTCAATACTCATGCTTTACTCTCAATAAATATGTTAAACCACAGCAACATCAAGCATCCCTAAGTGCTACTTTTACTGGAAAATAATCTTGTTCTCTCCTACATACCCTAACTTGCCTCATTATGCAAAAGCTCTTTACTACTTTAAGTAACCAGCCACCTATTCCATAAATTAGCAACATCTGCCACATTGCTCCCTTGTCCACCCTATCATATATCTTTTCTAAATCCATATATGCTTTTTATACCTTTGACAAGTTTCGAGAGTTTCTGCACCAAGGGCCCAGTCCTGGGCAAGGCTTTGTTTGGTCAACTAGGCTGCTGCTGCTGGCTCACATATCCATCACAGCCTGGTTGATCTACAACTTGCTGGAGACTTGTCTAGTTTTTGTTCATTTAACCCTTAAACTGTCCATACGTAGATCTATGTTCATGTGTGGGGGGCTCCAAACGTAGACCAACATTTTATTTTTCATTAATTCAAATTTGGTGTGAAAGGCCTGAGTTGCCTAGACAGGAAAGAATGGGTCTGTGCACTCAGTGTGCGCAGTATGAAAAAATCTGGGACCACTTAGTACCTTGTGGGAACACCAGTTCAATTGAGTGCCAGCTAGAGCAAATAGCATGGCAAACACCAGTGATTTACCGATGTCATGTCATTAACATATTAAGAGGAAAGTAAAAATACGTTAGATAAATACACGATTGGGTGTGGGTGGGTGCGAGTTAGACCTGACTAGCTTGTGCCACTAGGTCAGATGCCATACTACTCCTTTCAGTGGATGTGACCTGACTTGGTGGGTCACTGGTCTAAGCCAGGAGGTGACATGGACTTGACATGCATGGGCCAGTAGGCCTGCTACAGTGTTCCTTCTTATGTTCTAATGTATCCAGCTGGCTGGCTTTGGCTGTGTCTGTGTCTGTATCTATCTATATATATGTCTCACATGTACTGTACTCATAAGTACAATTATACATAACATAAATTACCTAGGATAACCCAAAAATTCCAGGCCAAGTGCTATACAGTGTTTGTAAATACAAGAAAAATAAACATGACCACACACAGAGGACAAAGACACAAGCTGAACTTGACAGACATAAGCAGAGCTAGGCAGACAGACAGATGTACAGACAGGCAGACATACTGAGAGAGAGACGTTTGTGTGCAAGAGTAAAAACATATAAAGGCAAGGTTCCCCCCTCCAGCAACTTACATTCATCAAATGTCACTTGTTATCCGACGCTTGTCGTAACACCATTATTCAAGGAGTTTCATATTATACTCCAGGTGCACACAGAAGACTGACAGACAGATAAGCTGAACTAGACAGACAGACAGATATACAAAGACATGTTTGTGTGCAAGAGTAAAAATACAAAGGCAAGGTTCCCTGCAGCAGTGCACATTCATCAAATGTCACTGGCTGTCACTTATCTGACCCTTGCCATAACACCATTATTCAAGAAGTTTCATACTCTAGCATGTCTACAACATTGCTGGGACCTATAAATACTTTGTACACAATGTATATTTCTAGACAATGGTCAATGAGCAAGGCATGTGAAAGTGTTCACCTGTCAGTGTGATTGTTACTACATATTTGAGTACTATTTCAGTGTCAGAACAAAGACTGGCTATGAACTCAAGAACTGTTTTAAAGTGTAATTATCAGAACATAAAAATTATACAAATTAAAATAAAAACTAGAAAAAAAAGGTAAATTGGCAACACTTCTGCAAGCAGCAGGAATGGATGTTGCTGTCAGGTGAGCATCCAGAGTCAACTTCGTGGTCTTATATCTCGGTAAGCACTGGTCCTAAATTTTTTTTTTGGTCTTACACCACAAAAAATTGCCCTCTTTAATTAAATTTTTTTTTTTTTTTTATTTTTCAAAATATTCAGAACGCCAAGCAGGTGAATGTAGATCTATGTTTGGACAGTTTAAGGGTTAAATACTGTTTAGTTATGCATTTCAATGTAATGGCTATACATCCCCTTTCCTTCCTTAACTCTTAAACTGTCCAAACGTAATTCTACGTTTGCACCGCTAGTGCCCCAAACATATATCTACTTTTTACATTTGAAAGCATGTAAATAAAAGAAATCTACATTTGGAGAGCTAGCGGTAAAAACAAGTCTGTCGTCTCCCACCAAGGCAGGGTGACCCAAAAAGAAAATCCCCAAAAAGAAAATACTATCATCATCATTTAACTCTTTCACCTCATACATAATCACTATCTTTGCAGAAGCAAAGGTCCCATAAACCATTTGTCTCCATTCACTCCAATCCAACATGCTCACGCACGCTTAAGAAATCCAAGTCCCCTCGCCCACAAAACCTCCTTTACTCCCTCCCTCCAACCTTTTTGAGGGCGACCTCTACTCAGCCTTCCTTTCCCTACAGATTTATACGTTCTCAAAGTCATTCTATTTTGCTCCATTCTTTAAATGACCAAACCACTGCAACAACCCCTCTTCAGCCCTCTGACTAATACTTTTACTAACTCCACACCTCCTAATTAAAACACTACTAATTCTCTGCATAATATTTACACAACACATTGCCCTTAGACACAACATCTCCACTGCCTCCAGCCACCTCCTCGCTGCACCATTTACAACCCAAGCTTCACACCCATGTAAGTTGGTACCACTATACTTTCGTACATTCCCTTCTTTGCCTCCATGGATGACTTTTTTTTATCTCCACAGATACCTCAATGCACCACTCGCCTTTTTTCTTTCATCAATTCTATGGTTAACCCCATCCTTCATAAAACCATCCGCTGACAAGTCAACTCCCACATATCAAAACATTCACTTCTTCCATACTCCCTTTCTCCAATGTGATATCCAATTTTTCTTTATCTAAATCATTTGACACCCTCATCACCTTACTCTTATCTATATTAACTTTCAACTTTTTACCTTTACACACCTGCACAAAGTCGTCCACTAACCTCTGCAACTTTTCTTTAGAATCTCCCATAAGTACAGTATCAGCAAAAAGTAACTGTCAACTCCCATTTCGTATTTGACTCCCCATAATTTAATCCCACCCCTCTCCCCAACACCCTAGCATTTACTTCTTTTACAACCCCATCTATAAATATATTTTATCATGGTAACATCACTCATCCCTGTCTAAGACCTACTTTTACCCATTTCCCTATAATTCTTAAGACATTTTCCACCCTTTTATTTCATACAAAAACTACACACATTTTCTGCCAATCCTTAGGTACCTTGCCCTTTCATGCATATACTGAACAATGCACTAACCACTCAAAAGCTATATGCAACCTGCTTTTAAAGATGTTACACCTTCCCATCTAATTCAAGAAATCACAGTCTCCCAATACACTCAACAATTGTTTTTAATTTATAATCCAAAAGGCCATACCTTACTAACGTCCAAATATCCGCCCTTAAAAGCAGACTTACAATTTGGTCCGACTTGACATACAAATCCACTACAGAGTGCAGCGCTATATAACTAGGAACGAGTGGGTAGTATTGGTTAGTATGGTGGTAGTAGTACAAGATTGTATATCCGACAATGAAATGATCGAATCTCTGGGTCCCAGTGTTTTGGCAGTGTCAACAAACTTGTATTATTTACAATTTGTAATACTACCACAACTTTACTTACCTCCACTCTCGCAAATAGCCTGTCTCCTGTTATGGAACTTTTATGGAATCGACGAACGCGTCGTAGCTTTGACTTACTTATTGGTATTTTTAATTTTAGTCATTTTCCTAGTTTTCACTCCAAATCTACCAGCAATTGTTGATAACCTATCCAACTTTCGTCTTCAGCTATAGAACCTTACTGTTCAACCCCAATCGAAGTGTCTCTGTTGCATTTGAAAAAAAAATTATATTTTACTTTATAAGAGATCTTCGAATGAACAAATGCGAAATTGATAGAACTTATGAATTACGCTCCCATTGCGACTTTACTCATCGGCAATTTCGCCCTTTAAGCCATTTCCCAATCTGTTCCCGTTACCAAAATTCATAGCTATTTATTTAGAACTCAACTTGTTCTATCGACTGAGTACAAGAAACTGCCCATTTACTGATTTCAACTACTCAATAAAGTGGTCAGAAATTGGCAATTTGGCCAATTTCATGAAAATTAAAAACTGTCAGTTTCAAAATAGGATCCAGAATGAACAATGGAGACATTCCTGGCACTAAAATAAGATTTTCTCTGTTTATCAGTCACGTCTGCAGGCCCCTGAAATAATACTCTTGCTTTCTCTTGAATTTTTATTCACACAAAAAATAGAATATTTACTATTATGCAGACTACTGCAATATTGTAATAATTTTATAAATAACGTGAACCCATTTGTGACTGCGTATTAGAATGGCCAGTTGGACATTTATTGGACAATGACATTCGTTTACTCTTGAACATCGGCAAAAATCAAACATTTCTGCCACTTTGAGCTCCATTTCAAGATCCTTTTCAGAGTAAAACCAATCAAAATCACTTCTTTCTATAATGTGTTTTCCATTCTATCAAATGAGACCAAGAAAACAGGAATACAACCATAAATACTATACAAAAATACACCTCAAAGTCAGCGTTTTAATCCAAAAACACGGTCAGAGGTTTTTCTCATTATGCACCGCTTGCTGCAGGATTTTTTTTTATATTGCGCACACTGACCACACAGACCCATTCTCTCACATGTGGGCCTATCAGTTTTTTCCTGCACGATTTGAAGGCGCTAGAATTTTTGTGTATATACATCAAGCACATTGGCTCGTAAGACATATATACGACCGAAATGGTCAAAGGGTTAAGAACCTTTCATATGCCAACTTTCTCCCTTACCACCCTCTTTACTTTGTCATTTCACCAATCACTCCTCTTTCCTCCTGCACCTATTACTACTGCTGCATACACTAACACCATTCTTAAATCTACCCTATACCTCCTTGACCCTCATCTCATTACCTATACTTTCTGTAGACTACATGTCTCCCAACAGCCAGCAGACAATGCCAGGAGTGAAAACAGGCTTATGAAGAAATTTCATAAAATGTAAAATTCTTCTTCTTCTTCTTTCAACGTATCAGCCGTATCCCACTGAGGCAGGGTGGCCCAAAAGGAAAAACGAAAGTTCCTCCTTTTAAATTTAGTAATATATACAGAAGGGGTTACTAGCCCCTTGCTCCCAGCATTTAAGTCACCTCTTACGACATGCATGACTTACGGAGGAAGAATTCTGTTCCACTTCCCCATGGAGATAAGAGGAAATAAACAAGAACTAGAAAGAAAATAGCAGAAATCCCAGAGGGAAGTGTATATGTACGTGTAGTGTGACCTAAGAGTAAGTAGAAGTAGCAAGACATACCTGAAATCTTGCATGTTTATAAGACAGAAAAAAGGACACCAGCAATCCTACCATCATGTAAAACAATTACAGGCTTTTGTTTTACACTCACTTGGCAGGACGGTAGTACCTCCCTGGGCAGCTGCCATCTACCAACCTACTACCTACAAAATGTACAATTATAATACTATAATACAGGCATATTTATCTTTCAAGGAAATCTTTCTTTCAACACACTGGCCATATCCCACCGAGGCGGGGTGGCCCAAAAGGAAAAACGAAAGTTTCTCCTTTCACATTTAGTAATATATACAGGAGAAGTGGTTACTAGCCCCTTGCTCCTGGCATTTTAGTTGCCTCCTACAACACGCATGGCTTACGGAGGAAGAATTCTGTTCCACTTCCCCATGGAGATAAGGAAATAAACAACAAGAACAAGAATTTGTAAGAAAATATTAGAAAACCCAGAGGGGTGTGTGTATATATATGCTTGTACATGTATGTGTAGTGTGACCTAAGTGTAAGTAGAAGTAGCAAGACATACCTGAAATCCTGCATGTTTATGAGACAGAAAAATGGACACCAGCAATCCTACCATCATGTAAAACAATTACAGGCTTCAGTTTTACACTCACTTGGCAGGACGGTAGTACCTCCCTGGGCAGTTGCCGTCTACCAACCTACTACCTACAAAATGTACAATACTATAATACAGGCATATTTATCTTTCAAGGAAATATGTTAGGAAATACTGTATCAAGAACATATGATATGTGCTGTTCTAAATATGGGCAGGTTTTGCAGGATCTAAGGTGATACTTGAAGTGTAGAAATGTAACCCCAAAATTAAGAATTCACTCGCACGATAATCTTAACGAGCAAACAATGAAACCAGTGGCTTGTGCTTAAATTAACTATAATACATTAAAAAAGATAATTTTACCATGACATGATCCCTGAATACTGTGAAAAGGATGCGTTTCATCTCTCTCGCATCAATATTTTGGTCCAAGTTGGTCACTTGCAACTCTACAGGAACCTGGGAAGTACTTCCCAAGCTTGTGTCCTGAAAGAATGGTTTAATATTAAATTTCTGTTCTCTTCTACCTCGGTTTAAAAAAAAATAAATTAGGCCATATTACTGGAAACAAATAACTCACACTTAGAGAAAATAATGATATTTAAGTCAAACATGAACCATCGACAAGTCACACTAAATTGAGGAGGGAGAATGGAAGGTGATGACAGTGCCAGTGGGTAGGTGGTGGTAGGAAAGTTATAAGTGGCTGCAAAAGCAGCAGGAGCAGAGGTAGTAGCAATACAAGTTGTTTTAGTAGTAGATTTAGTATAAGTAATAGTTTTAGTAGAAGAAATAAGGTAGCAGCAGCAGTACAGGCTTCAGTACGACAGTCGATAGTCAAGTCATGCCAGTTATTACTTTCCTTTTCCTAAGTGTGGGTTACTTTGTATATTGTTCCCGCTACAGTACTGTGACTGTTCTTTCTTGATGGGGCACAATTTATAGGAACTTATAAAAACCACAGTTTTTTATGGGATTAATCTAGTTGATAAGAGCTAAGGACTTTTTAACAGCCAAAATGTACATTAATTTAAAATTGTCATCAGTGCTTTATTACTAACTGCTAAGTCATAAAATTTATGAACACAATCAAACCAACACACTTATCTGGAGGTGGTAATAAGCAAATACAAATGTGACCTATAATATCATTAATTTACATCCTCTGACATGAAGACACACTGGATGATGCGACGGGCTGGAGTTTTGAGACCATGACCGCGGGTTCAATCCCGGCCGGGGGTATGGTTTATTTGCAATCGTGTCATTACGATTTCTTGAGTCTGGATGATGCAGTATATAATTCTCCTAAGAGCATCTTGAAGCACTCATTCTTTTGTATGTAGAATTCAAGACATTTATCACTAATATCACTTTACTTACATTAATTCCTTCTAGCGATTAGTAAAACAATCACATTACATATACAGTAGGCATCATATATGCAAACACTCAATTAGAATGCTCACCATAAATTGCTTTAAATAAAATAATGACATACGTACGAAATATTCATTTTATCTAATATTTCTTAGGACTAACCTTCCTCTATGTGCTCATCTCTTATGCATGGATAAGGCTACATTATGGAGGACAGAATCAATACCCTCTCACATCTGCTTAATGGTACTTAGAGTTTGGGGATAGTGGACATATCCATGCCACAAAACATGCTTAAAAAGATTCCACAGTTTTTCTATTGAATTTAGATCTGATGAGTTACCAGGCAAGGCATTAAATGGTGTATCACAATCATGCAGCCAATTTTTTACATCTTTGGCAACAAGGCAAGAAGCACTGTCTTACAAAGTTTGCCCTGGCACTTCAAAACTACAAATACTGTATACTGTATACAAAAAAGCAATAATGTTAAAAAGACTTTTTCAACAAGTAGGCATTTTCCAACCAAGGCAGGGTGGGAGAAGAAAAAAAACTTTTATAATCATTCAACAATTTCACCTCACTCATACATAATCACTGTCTTTGAAGAGGCACCCAGATACAACAGTTTAGAAGCATATATAAAGATATATAACATATCCCTCCAAATTGCCAATAGTCCAAACACCCCCTTTAAAGTGCAGGCATTGTACTTCCCATTTCCAGTACTCAATTCCGGCTATATAAAAATAACCAGTTTAAATAAATATTACTCTGCTCACACTCCATCTCGTCAGGTCCCAAAAACCATTCATCTCCATTCACTCCTATCTAACATGCTCACACACACTTGCTGGAAATCCAAGCCCCTCACCCACAAAACCTCCTTTACCCCCTCTCTCCAACCTTTTCGAGGACGACCCCTACCCTGCCTTCCTTCCCTACAGATTTATACACTCTCCATGTCATTCTATTTTGATCCATTCTCTCTAAATGACCAAACCACCTCAACAACCCCTCTTCAACTCTCTGACTAATACTTTAACTCCATACCTCCTAATTTCCACTCTCCGAGTTCTCTGCATAATATTTACACCACACATTGCCCTTAGACAGGACATCTCCACTGCCTCCAATAGCCTCCTCGCTGCAGCATTTACAACCCAAGCTTCACACCCATATAAAGGTGTTGATACCACTATACTTTCATACATTCCCTTCTTTGCCTGCATAGATAACGTTTTTTGTCCCCACACATACCTCAATGTACCACTCACCTTTTTCCTTCATCAATTCTATGGTTAACTTCATCCCTCATAAACCCATCTACTGACAACTCTCAAATATCTGAAAACATTCACTGCTTCCATTCTCCCACTTTACAATGTGATATCCATTTTTTCTTTATCTAAATCATTTGATACCCTCATCACCTTACTTTTATCTATGTTCACTTTCAACTTTCTACCTTTACACACCCGCCCAAACTTGTCCACTAACCTTTGTAACTTTTCTTTAGAATCTCCCATAAGCACAGAATCGTCAGCAAAAAGTAACCGTCAACTCCCATTTTGTACATGATATCCCATAATTTAATCCCATCCCTCTCCCCAACACCCTACCACTTACTTCTTTTACAACCCTATCTATAAATATATTAAACAACCATGGTGACACTACACATCCCCCTCTAAGACATACTTTTACCGGGAAGTAATCTCCCTCTTCAACACACCCTAACCTGAGCCTCACTATCCTCATAAAAATTCTTTACAGCATTTAGTAACTCACTACCAATTCCATTTACTTGCAACATCTGCCACATTGCTCCCCTATCCATTATCATATGCCTTCTCTAAATCCATAAATGCAATGAAAACTTCCCCATCTATCTAAATACTGCTCACATATATGCTTCAATGTAAACACTTGATCAACACATCCCCTACCCACTCTAAAGTCTCCTTGCTCATCCAAAATCCTACTCTGTCTTACCTCTTAATTCTTTCAATAATAACCCTATCATACACTTTTCCTGGTATACTCGGTAAACTTATTCCCCTATAATTTTTACAATCTCTTTTGTCCCCCTTCCCTTTATATAAAGTAACTATACATGCTCTCTGCCAATCCCTAGGTACCTTCCCCTCTTTCATATATTTATTAAGCAAAAATACCAATCACTCCAACACTATCCCCCCCTGCTTAACATTTCTGTCATAATCCGTCAGTTCTAGCTGCTTTACCCCCTTTCAGTCTACATAATGCCTCACACACCTCCCCCACACTGACATTCTTCTCTTCTTCACTCCAAAAGATGTTACACCTCCCTGGCCAGTGCATGAAATTACCGCCTCCTTTTCTTTGACATTTAAAAGTTCCTCAAAATATTCCCGCCATCTACCCAATACCTCCAGTTCCCCATCTACTAACTCCCATACTCTTTTTAACTGACAAATCCATTCGTTCCCTAGGCTTTCTTAACTTGTTTATCTCACTCCAAATTTTTTTTCCTATTTTCTGCAAAATTTCTTGACAGCGCCTCTCCCACTACCATCTGCTCTACATCCACGCACATTCAAACATCCCACTGACGGTTTTCTTCTTTTTCTTTTTAGTAGGCTATACGGGAAAAGGAGTTACTAGCCCATTGTTTCCAGTATTTTAGTCGACTTTTACAACACGCATGGCTTATGGAGGAAAGATTCTTATTCCACTTCCCCATGGATATAAAAGGAAAAGCAATAAGAACAAGAACTATTAAGAAAATCAAAGAAAACCAAGATGAGTGTGTATACATAAATGTGTACATGTATGTGTAGTGTGACCTAAGTGTAAGTAGAAGTAGCAAGACGTACTTGAAATCTTGGATGTTTATTCGACAGAAAAAAGACACCAGCAAACCTACCATCATGTAAAACAATTACAGGCTTCGTTTTACACTCACTTGGCAGGACGGTAGTACCTCCCTGGGTGGTTGCTGTCTACCAAGAAAACCACACTTATCACCTGTAAGAACCTTGCATTGATATAGATAGGAAAAACTGCCATCATTACAGTTTACAACTTACCACAGGAGCCCCGTCTCCCAAAGATAATTCCCGCAGTCCACACAGGACTTGACCTTGCAAGTCTGAGGTGGTTGGAAGACTCCACGTATGCTTCATAGGACTGACACCACTCCAGGAGAGTAATGGAGATGGACTCCTCATCCTGTTGCAAACAAAGCACTAACAATTATTAAATCAACTGTCAATTCTACTTAAAGCCTATAACTGCAATACCCTAGATTTTCTTTTTCTATAAATGCTAGACCTTATTTCTCTCTAAACTGGTTTGTGGTTTCAATAACTTTTATTGTAATTTATTTTTCACTTAAAAATATTCACAAATTTAACATATTTTGATACCACAGAAAATTCGTTCAGCTGTTTCATAAATACATTATTCTTGATATAAAATCCCTGTGCTTGAGTACCAGGTGATCTTAACCTTGCATAAACAATTTTGAAATTCCCTCCAGCTAGCTTAGATGGTTATAAAGTGAAAGGTGAAAAGAGCAGATGAATACAGGACATGTAATAAAAGAAAAATGTATACAGCATGTGCAGGTAGAAGATAAATGTTACTGTAGAAGAGTATGCACTTAATGCAAAGCAAGATTATGCGAATCATTTTTTTTTTATTTTATTAACACATTGGCCATTTCCCACCACAGTAGGGTGGCCTGAAAAAGAAACACTTTCACCATCATTCACTCCATCACTGTCTTGCCAGAGGCACACTTACACGACAGTTATAAACTGCAAAATTAACACTCCTCCTTCATAGAGCAGGCACTGTACTTCCCATCTTCAGGACAAGTCCAGCCTGCTGGTTTTCCTGAATCCCTTCATAAACACTATCCTGCTCACACTCCAACAGCATGTTAAGTCATAAAAACCATTTGTCTCCATTCACTAACACGCTCGTGCATACTTGCTGGAAGTCTAAGCCCCTCACACACAAAATCTCCTCTACCCCCTCCCTCCAAAGTTTCCTAGGCCAACCCCTACCCAGCCTTCCCTCCACTACAGATTTATACAATCTCGAAGTCATTCTAGTTCCATCCTCTTTACATGTCCGAACCAAGGCCTGGTGGCTAAAGCTCCCGCTTCACACATGGAGGGCCCGGGTTTGATTCCCGGCGGGTGGAAACATTTCGACACGTTTCCTTACACCTGTTGTCCTGTTCACCTAGCAGCAAATAGGTACCTGGGTGTTAGTCGACTGGTGTGGGTCGTATCCTGGGGGACAAGATTGAGGACCCCAATGGAAATAAGTTAGACAGTCCTCGATGACACACTGACTTTCTTGGGTTATCCTGGGTGGCTAACCCTCCGGGGTTAAAAATCCGAACTAAATCTTATCTTAACAACCCTTCCTCAGCCCTCTGGATAATAGTTTTGGTAATCCCGTACCTCCTCCTCCTAATTTCCAAACTACGAATTCTCTGCATTATATTCACACCACACATTGCCCTCAGACATGACATCTCTACTGCCTCCAGCCTTCTTGTTGCAACATTCACCCTTCATGCTTCACATCCATACAAGAGAATTGGTATAACTATACTCTCATGCATTCCCCTCTTTGCTTCCATGGACAAAGTTCTTCGTCTCCACAGACCCCTCAGTGCACCACTCGCCTGTTTTCCCTCGTCAATGCTATGATTCACCTCATCTTTCAAAGATCTATCTGCTGACATGTTCACTCCTAAATATCTGAATACATTCACCTCCTCCATACTCTCTCCCTCCAACCTGATATCCAATCTTTTGTTGCCTAATTTTTGTTATCACCTTACTCTTTTCTATATTCACTTTCAATTTTCTTTTTACATACCCTACCAAACTTATCCACCAACCTCTGCAACTTCTCTTCAGAATCATCCTAAAGCACAGTGTCATCAGCAAAGAGCAACTGTGACAACTCCCACTTGGTGTTAGATTATCTTTTAACCCCAAACCTCTTGCCAACACCCAAGCATTCACTTCTCTTACAATCCCATCTATAAATATATTGAACAACCATGGTGACATCACACATCCTTGTCTTAGGCCTACTTTTAATGGGAAATAATCTCCCTCTCTCCTACATACTCTAACCTGAGTTTCACTATCCTTGTAAAATTTTTTCACTGCTTTCAATAACCTACTTCCTATTCCATACATCTGCAACATTGTCCCCCCTTCCCCTATCCACCCTGTCATATGCTTTTCCAAATCCATAAATGCCACAAAAACCTCCTTACCCTTATCTAGATACTGTTCACCTATGTGTTTCACTGTAAACATTTGGTCTACACACCCTCAACCCTTCCTAAAGCCTCCTTGTTCATCTGGTATCTTACTCTGTCTTACTCTTAATTCTTTCAGTAATAACTCTCCCATACACTTTACCAGGTATACTCAACAGACTAATTTCCCTATAATTTTTACATTCTCTTTTGTTCCCTTTGCCTTTATACAAAGGAACAATGCATGCTCTGTGAATCCCTAGGTACCTTACCCTCTTCCATACATTTATTAAATAAAAGCACCAATCACTCCAAAACTATATCCCCCTCTGCTTTTAACATTTCTATCTTTATCCCATCAATCCCAGCTGCTTTACCCACTTTCATTCTACCCACTGCCTCACGAACTTCCTCCTCCCCCCCCCACACTTGACACGCTCCTCTTCAACTACAAGATGTTCCTCCTTGACCTACACACGAAATCACAGCTTCCCTATCTTCATCAACATTTAATAATTCCTCAGAGTATCCCCTCCATCTTCCTGATACCTCTAACTCTCCATTTAATAACTCTCCCCTCCTATATTTAACAATCAAAACCATTTGTTCCCTAGGCTTCCTCAATTTATTAATCTTGCTCCAAAACTTTCTTACTTTCAACAAAATTTGTTGATAACATCTCAACCACTCTCTAATTTTGTGCTTTTTTAATTGCTTAACAGTCTTTACTTTTTTCTTCCATATAAATCCTTTCCTCTTGCATCACTTCACTTTGAAAAAACATCTATGCTAACCTTTTCTCTTACTACTTTCTAATCATTCCACAAACGCCTTCTTCCTCCACGTCACTTCCGTAACAAAAAACTTTGCTGAACACAACATATATTCTTAAACCCAACCCCCTACATCTCCAACCCCATGCCTATATACTCTCACTAGCCTATCTATCCTCCAATACTTGTTTACATCTTACAATAACTGCCTTCTCCTTTAGTTTATAATCCTTCATGCCTCTCTTACCTGCTGCTTCCATTTTCCTTATATACCATTTACCTTTTACTTTCACTGTAGCTACAACTAAAAAGTGATCTGATTTATCTGTGGCCCACTATAAACATGTACATCTTGAAGTCTACCCAACGTTTATTAAAAAATTACATAGTCCAACAAACCAGTAATCATTATGCCCTGCATTGTATCTTGTATACTTATTTATCTTTTTTTTTCTTTAAATATGTATTACCTATAACCAAACCCCTTTCTATACAAAGTTCAAGCAAAAAGCTCCTATTACCATTTACACCTGGCACCCCAAGCTTACCTACCACCACTCCCTCTTTAAATGTTTCTCCTACTTTAGCATTTAGGTCCTCTACTACAATTACTCTCACTTGGTTCAAAAGTTCCTACACACTGGCTTAACATCTCCCAAAATCTCTCTCCTACACATCTCTCTTCTCCAGATGCATACACACTTGTAATCATTATTACTATTATTGTGAACCAGTCAGCAGCAATAGTTTGGAAGGTTTCGTGGCATGGGAAGTAAGGGATGCTTGGAGATGGTTAACCTAGCCAATTTTTTACTTAGTATAAAGAACTGTGTTGAATACACGAAAACTATTGCGATCTGTTAATAATTCCATATATCATCACTGACAAAGCCCAATCTTAGACCAGGTTCTTTAACCCGTTGACTGTTTCGGCCGTATATATACATCTTACGAGCCAGTGTTTCAGACGTATATATACTCGATAATTGTAGCGGCTTCAAATCAAGCAGGAGAAAGCTGGTAGGCCCACATGTGAGAGAATGGGTCTGTGTGGGCAGTGTGCACTGCATAAAAAACCCTGCAGCACAGTGCATGAGAAAAAAACTCCATGTTTTTGGATTAAAACGCCGACTTTAGGTGTATTTTCGTATAGCATTTATGGTTGTCCTGCCAAGCGAGTGTGAAGCGAAAGCCTGTACTTGTTTTACATGATGGTAGGATTGCTGGTGTCCATTTTTCTGTCTCATAAGCATGCAAGGTTTCAGGTACGTCTTGCTACTTCTACTTACACTTAGGTCACACTACACTTACATGTACAAGCGTATAGTATATACACACCCCTCTGGGTTTTCTTCTATTTTCTTACTAGTTCTTGTTTATTTCCTATCTCCATGGGGAAGTGGAAACAGAATTCTTCCTCCGTAAGCCATGCGTGTTTTAAGAGGCGACTAAAATGCCAGGAGCAAGGGGCTAGTAACCCCTTCTCCTGTATATATTACTAAATGTAAAAGGAGAAACTTTCGTTTTTCCTTTTGGGCCACCCCGCCTCAGTGGGATACGGCCGGTGTGTTGAAAGAGAAGATTTATGGTTGTATTCTCGTTTTCTTGGTCTATGTTGATAGAAAACATTACGGAAATAGAGATGATTTCAATTAGTTTCTGACCATTTCACTGGGTAGTTGAAATCGGGAAATGGGCAGTTTCTTGTACTCAATTGACAGAAAAAATGGAGTTCTAAAGAAACGGCTATGAGTTAGGTCGCCTGGAACAATGGAATTGGCCGAAAATAGGGCTCAAAGTCGGCAAAATCGCCTATGTGCATATATCGCCGAGATAGCTAACTTTGCGGGAGCATAATTCCGTAAGTTTTTGAACAAATTTCGTACTTTTGGTGTCATTATCATCAGGAAAAGATTCTCTATCATTTCATAAGAAAATATAATTTTTTTCCAAAAAATTTCCAATATAGAATGACAGTTTCAGAAAGGAGCTTGCAACAGTTGAAGGGTTAAATTATAGAGGAAATTCAGTATTACAAGAATATAAATTATCAAGCAAAACTGAAAAGTAAACAATTTTATACTGAATGTAAGACATTACTACGATTTACCTGCCATCTTACACAAGAAAAAAAAATATGCTGCCAGAGCAAAACTGCCTATCAGGCTTCAATTTTTCTTATAGTAAAATGGTAATAATTCCCTGGATATCTAGCAACGTACTACTTTTCGAAAGTTTTATATTTTCATTTAGATTCCAATTTTCAGATAACACAAGTTACTCACCTGAGATTATTATCTAGCAAGTATGAATCTGCTAGTCTGGTACTTAATGAAAAGCTTGGTGGTGAACTCATTCTGAATTGAACTTCTGGAAATGAAAAATATGAATAGCAAACACCCATTTTTGCTTTATAGAATTCTTTAAATTCTACACATTATTAACAATTTGTTTGTTTTTTAAATTATGAAGGAGATCTGGGCAACGCAAGACGAGACCAAATCCTTTAACTCAGTAATAAAAAAAATAAGAAAAGGAAAATAACTAAAAACAATATCACCAAATTAGGAGGAGGAAATACATGATATTAAAGATGATTTTTAAAGTGTGTTTACAGAAGATACCTAAGATGTTATAATTTTAAACCACAAATAGCCAGCTGAAATGGATACTGAAATATTCGAAGAGGAGGAAAAGCTGCCGCTATTGATAAAAGGCAGTATGGCAAGCCCAGACAAGAACACTATGGGTGTTAAAAGAACACAGATTGTGGATGACCCAAGTTTTCCTTGTGGAAAAAAATGTAATTTGCTACAAGAAAGTAAACTGGCTTATAAATTGAAAATGGCACACACTTTGTTCAGAAAGGTGGGCTAGTGCAAGTATAAGTAGTAGGGGGGGAGGATTGAAGAGGGATGGAATAGTTTTAAAAATGCAGTATTAGAAAGTGGGGCAAAAGTTTGTGGCTATAGGAGGGTGGGTGCAGGAGGAAAGAGGAATGATTGGTGGAATGATGAGGTAAATGGTGCAATAAAAGAAAAGGTTAGCTTATGAGAGGTTTTCACAAAACAGAAGTGATGTAAGGGCAGAATACATGGAGAGTAAAAGAAAGGTGAAGAGTGGTGAGGGAGTGCAAAAGGAAAGCAAATGATAGAGTGGGAGAGGCACTCGAGAAATTTTGACGAGAAAAAATTTTGGAATGAGAAACAAGTTAAGGAAGTCTAGGGAATGAATGGATTTGTCAGTTAAAAACAGTAGGAGAGTTAGTAAATGGGGAAATGGAGGTATTGGGTAGATGGCGGGAATATTATGATGAACTTTTAAATGTCGAAGAAAGGGAGGCAGTAATTTCATGCACTGGCCAGGGAGGTATAACATCTTTTAGGAGTGAAGAGCAGCAGGATGCGAGTGTGGAGGTGCACGAAGCATTACGTAGAATGAAAGTGGGTAAAGCAGCTGGAACTGATGGGATCATGACAAATGTTAAAAGCAGGGGAAGAGAGAGTACTGGAGTGGTTGGTATTTTAGTTTAATAAATGTATGAAAGAGGGGAAGGTGCCTAGGGACTGGCAGAGAGAGTATACAATTCCTTTATATAAAGGAAAGGGGGACAAAAGAGACTGAAAATTCTAGGGGAATAAGTTTACCGAGTATACCAGGTAGTGTATGGTAGTTATTATTGAAAGAATTAAGAGGTATGACAGTGCAGGATTGCAGATGAGCAAGGAGGCTTTAGAATGGATAGGGGATGTGTAGATCAGGTGTTTACATTGAAGCATATATGTGAACAGTATATAGGTAAAGGTAGGGAAGTTTTCATTGCATTTATGGATTTAGAAAAGGCACATAAAAGTGGATAAGGGAGCAATGTGGCAGAAGTTGCAAGTGTATAGAATAGGTAGTAAGTTACTAAATTCTGTAAAGAGTTTTTATGAGGATAGTGAAGCTAAGGTTAGGGTGTGTAGAACAGAGGGAGATTGCTTTCTGGTAAAAGTAGATCTTAGACATGGATGTGTAATGTCACCAGGGATGTTTAACATTTATAGATGGGGCTGTAAAAGAAGTAATGTTAGGGCATTGGGGAAAGGGGTAGGATTAAATTATGGGGAATCAAATACAAAATGGGAGTTGATACAGTTACTTTTTGCTGATGATACTGTGATTTTGAGAGATTCTAAAGAAAAGTTGCAAAGGTTAGTGGATGAGTTTGGGAGGGTGTGTAAAGGTGGAAAGTTGAAATTGAATACAGATAAGGGTAAGGTGATGAGGGTATCAAACGGTTTAGATAAAGAGAAACTGGATATTACATTGGAGGGAGGGAGTATGGAAGAAGTGGATGTTTTCAGATATTTGGAAGCCGACTTGTCAGTGGATGGGTTTATGAAGGATAGAGTAAACCATAGAACTGATGAAGGAAAAATGGCAAGTGGTGCATTGAGGTATCCGTGGAGACAAATGTTATCAATGGAGGCAAAGAAGGGAATGTATGAGAGTATAGTGGTACCAACACTCTTATATGGGTATGAAGCATAGGTTGTAAATGCTGCAGCGAGGAGGCGGCTGGAAGCAGTGAATGTGTCATGTAGGGCAATGTGTGGTGTAAACATTATGCAGAGAATTTGTAGTGTGGAAATTAGGAGATGTGGAGTTAATAAAAGTATTAGTCAGAGGGCTGGAGAAGGGCTGTTGAGGTTGTTTGGTCATTTAGAGAGAAATAGAACAAAGTAGAATGACTTGGAGAGCGTATAAATTTATTGGGTTGGAAGGGCTAAATCAGGTTTTGCGATTGAGGGGCTAAGACTTCCAGCAAGCGTGCATGAGCGTGTTAGATAGGAGTGAATGGAGATGAATGGTTCGTGGAACCTGACGAGTTGGGTATGAGCAGGTAAATTTTGGAAGGGGTTCAGGGAAACCAGTTGCTGGGCCCAAGTCCCCGGAAAAGGGAAATACAAGCCCGCACTTTAAAAGAGGGGTTTTGGATATTGGTAGGGGTTTGGGGGACGTTTAAACTGTCGTATCTGAGGCCCCGCAAAAACTGATTATTATGAGTATGGTGAAAGTGTGGAATGGTGAAATTTTTTTTTTTTTTTTCTTTTTGGGTTTCTTTCTTTTTAGGTCACCCTGCCTTGGTGGGAAGTGGCTGAAGTATTAAAAGAAAAAATAGAATACATGGAAGACTCTAAACTCTAAATTTGTCTTGACTTTTTTTTTTTTTTTTTTTTTTTTTTTTTTTTTAACAAGTTGGCCATCTCCCACCGAGGCAGGGTGACCTAAAAAAAAGAAAATCCCCAAAAAGAATACTTTCATCACCATTCAATACTTTCACCTCATCGCACATAATCACTGCTTTTGCAGAGGTGCTCAGTATACAACAGTTTAGAAGTATATACGTATAAAGATACACAACATACCCCTTCAAACCGCCAATATCCCAAACCCCTCCTTTAAAGTGCAGGCATTGTACTTCCCATTTCCAGTTAACTGGTTTCCCTGAATCCCTTCACAAAATATTACCCTGCTCACACTCCAACAGATCGTCAGGTCCCAAATACCATTCGTCTCCATTCACTCCTATCTAACAGGCTCACGCACGCTTGCTGGAAAGTCCAATCCCCTCGCCTACAAAACATCCTTTACCCCACTCCCTCCAACCCTTTCGAGGACGACCCCTACCCCACCTTCCTTCCCCTACAGATTTATACACTCTCCATGTCATTCTACTTTGATCCATTCTCTCTAATGACCAAACCACCTCAACAACCCTTCTTCAGCCCTCTAATACTTTTGTTAACTCCACACCTTCTCTAATTTGCACACACTGAATTTTCTGCATAATATTTACATCACACATTACCCTTAGACAGGACATCTCCACTGCCTCCAACCACCTCCTCGCTGCAGCATTTACAACCCAAGCTTCACACCCATATAAGAGTGTTGGTACCACTATACTTTTATGCATTCCCTTCTTTGCCTCTATAGATAACATTCTCTGTCTCCACATATACCTCAACACACCACTCCTTTTTTTTCCCCTCATCAATTCTATGATTAACCTTATCCTTCATAAATCCATCCGCTGATACGTCAACTCCCAGATATCTGAAAACATTTTCTTAGCATACTCCTCCTCCCCAATTTGATATCCAATTTTTTTCTTTATCTAAATCATTTGATACCCTCATCACCTTACTCTTTTCTATGTTCACTTTCAACTTTCTACCTTTACACACACTCCCAAATTCGTCCACTAACCTCTGCAATTTTTCTTTAGAATCATCAATAAGCACAGTATCATCAGCAAAAAGTAACTCCCTTCCCATTTTGTATTTGATTCCCCATAAATTAATCCCACCCCTCTCCTGAACACCCTAGCATTTACTCCTTTTACAACCCCATCTATAAATATATTAAACCACCATGGTGACATTACACATCCCTGTCTAAGACCTACTTTTACTGGGAAGTAGTCTCCCTTTCTTCTACACACCCTAATCTGAGTATCACTGTCCTCATAAAAAACCTCTACAGCATTTAGTAACTTACCACCTATTCCATATACTTGCAACATCTGCCACATTGCTCCCCTATCCACTATCATATGCCTTTTCTAAATCCAAATATGCAATAAAAACTTCCCTACCTTTATCTAAATACTGTTCACATATATGCTTCAATGTAAATACCCGATCTACACATCCCTTACCCACTAAAACCTCCTTGCTCATCCTTACTTAAAGAGAAAAGGATTGCTACTAGAAAACAGTTCTTTCCAGCAATAAATACTGTACCTATAGGTACAGTACTATACAGTATACACGACTGTATATCAAAATAAAAGATGTATAGTACTGTATATCAAATATATTAAGCTAATGTAACACAATCTTGAAAGAAGGTAGTTAAACTAGGGTACATTAATTTAGGGTTTAAAGTTCTTGATGGTTCCTGTGGGAAAGAAGTGATCTGTAAGACAGGTGGAACACTTACAGTATTATAGTAGATGCACGATTTAATGCTTAACAAGCGAACACAAGTGTTATGAGGTGATGTGTTCTCATAGGCTAAAGTCACAATGAAGATGCAGCTAGGCTCAGTACCTGAATTGAATTTTTTTTTCAATTTATATAAACTACTTGCCTGAAGGAATAAATAAAAAAATATGCAAGAAAAGCTGGATATGTTGAGTGGCTAGTAATAAAAATGGGAGAAAGTGAAAACAGTACTCACCAAGAACACATTCATATAAAATATTAAAAGCACAAAAGTGATGCATAAGAATAATCACTGTACTGACAGTCACTAAGATCACACTAATGAAATCCTTATGCCCTGCTGTTATGCCTTGTCACATGCATGATTTAAAAACTTACTTTGTGAACGGCCTTTTTTGAAAGTCTCTGGTGTTTTGTCTAAGTACAAAGGCTGGACAGCAGTACTATTGGCAACAGATTCACCATTATGCATATCATAGTCTTGCAGAATTCCAGAAAAACTTCCATTTACACCAACAGATGCCTGGCTTTGAGATTTGCAACCACTGTTTCTCCACATTCTTTGTCTGAAAATGCAAACATACTTGATATTACACCTAAATTAGTCAAATGGCTAAACTACCAATAATTGAGAAATATTAGAAATCACTGTCAAGTAGGTCCCCCAACTAATGCTAATTCATTTCTGAAAACCAATTCCAAGCTGATTGTTTGGAATTCAACCAATTTTCTCCCCAGATACTTGTGCTATAAACTTAATTTTTACAGCTGAACACGACAGAAACGCTGCCAAGACAAGATCCTTTTGCTGACCTAAAACCGACATTAAATTAACAATAGCAGCATTAACCCTTTCAAGGGCTGTCACAGAGCTGTCAGAGGCCAAGTCATGAGCTCGGCTCACTCATAAGCCATGAGCAGTAAATTTTGGCCTAGAGAATGAGTATGAATTTTTAATGTGCTCATTATAAAAAAATCCTGCCCACACAAAACATGGGAAAAATCGAAGCTTTGACCATGCATTTGGTTTAACGTAGCGACAGAGGTATTTTCAAGGATGGTTTTTGAAGTTTCATTGGTTTCATCTGATACACTGGAAGACAAGAGAGATTCTTTTGGTTGGTTTCAGGGTTGGAAGTAGCATTAAATCAGGCTCAAAATAACAGCAATATTAAATTTTTGCAGATCTTCTTGAGGATGGGTAAGGCCCCCTACATCCCCTGGTCAGTTTAACGAGTTTTTAATAGGTCTGATTCAATTATGGGATGCCATAAACCATGGCCAATCATTCCTGATTATATTTTATTATCTGGGAAAGAGTGAATCTCCTATTTTGTGATTATGAATTCAAAATGGAAGTGTAATACAGGAGAGGCCTGGGGATGTGAAAAATGAACAAAGGAAATGTTTTAGTGCCAGGAATGTCTATTTTGCACTTTTTTTAAATGAGTAAAATTGGCGTATTTTATACAAGAACTTTAATAGTTGAATGGGCAGGAAGACATATGTGAAATAGCTAAGAATTTGGTCAAATGGAGCAATGGAATATACTGGGACACTGGGAGCAATATTAATTTTGGGGTTTGGACAGTGAACGGGTTAAAAGATCTGGAAAAACTGAACACTGACATATCAAGTTAACCCAGCTGAACTTCTGGCAAGAATTATAAAATAAGTACACACTAAATTACATACCCATCAACAGTAATATTTAACTAATCAATAGAAGATGAGGTTCAAAGTGAGTAGGAATTAGCAGTTTATTAAAACTATTCAAAAAGACAAGACAAGATGTATATCAAAGACAAAAATGGTCCGATATTAGCCGTACATTAATTTGGGGTAACAAGTCAAGACCATTATTAGTCTCGACTACCTGAAAAAAACTAATTCAGAATGCAATATAAATTTCACAACAAAAGTGCCTGCCTAACAAATTAATGCATTTCAACTATACATATTAAGACCAAAAAAATTCTATTTGTAGCATTGTACACAGCTAGATTTTTAGGCTGTGGACTAAGTACCATATTAATGACTGACCAGAATGTATGCAAAGTACAGGAGAAACTTCAGGTGTCCCTCCCTCTCGTCACGGTCCTGTCTTTACTTATCAAGTTCCAATCCTTCCTTTGCCAAAGTTTACCCCTCCTTGTCACAGGCACCATCCTTTTTGAGACCCCTTTTCTCAAGCTTGACCCCTACCTATCTTAATTTCCCTCCCCTTCCTCTTCTCTGACTTCCCCCTCCCCTTCTAAGTTTTCCCCCTTTCCTTATTTCAAACTCCCCCCCTGTAGACAGCCTGTACTGTCTGCACAGACAGCCAATGCTGTCTGCCAGCTTAGTTCATATTTCGCGCCATGCTGGTGCTGCCACCTATAGGCATTGCCACTTCAGCCTGCTTGCCCTTGCCACGCTCTCACTCTGGCGACACCCATCACTCAGTCAAGAACTGTCCACTCCTCTCTCCCTCGTGGGCATGGCCTACCCGGGCCATGGGCACAACACACAAGCCTGTGTACCCACCACGACTTAAAGTAAGAAGCCTCCGAAGACGTTTATAATTTACTCCCCGCTACCAGAACGCCAAATAATCCTTTCATAAATGGTGGGAAGCGGTGGTTGAAGCAGTTGTTTGCCCAGAGAGAGGAAGGAATGAATGAAGTCATCTTCACTTCATCATCCCATGCAAGAAGCATCCGTCTCTCAACGTGTTATCCTGATGTCGTGTCTGCACATTTGAGCATCCAGACACAGGTACAAGCAGGATCCAGCCGAAATTTACCGAATTTCTTTGAGAATTGTAAGTGGCGTCCCAGTGATCCCACGCTGTTTCTCAAGTCACATGTTTAGCGTCACTTGTATGTTCTGCTGCTGTTCAGCTCAGTACAGCTGTTTCAGCAAGCCAGAGGCGAGTTTTGTGGTGATTTCTGCGTCCAGTGTGTTTCCCTGTGTTTGTGGGTGGGAGGAGGAGGAATGGTCAGATGCTCCCTCGCCATACACTCACCCACGCTCCTCGCCACCACACTACCATACACTCACCACTACTCACTCCCTCTGCTGTGTTTTCTGCTGTTTTTCATATGATTCATTGCCAGAGCTGTGTATCCGAGTGCCCGAGGCCACTCGAAGCTACGTGGATCAGCATGCCACGTAGATCACGACACCACGTGGATCCCGACGCCACGTGGGTGTGGGCGATGTCACGTAGAGCTACCAGCCACGTGAGTTACCAGATGTCCCAGGCCTCATGCTGTGGTCTGCTGCCCGCATCACATCGACGTCACCCACGATGCTGCCCGACTTCATGACGTCACGATGTCTGCCTGACGTCACCTCGAGATATCTGCTGATGTCACCTCGCGACATCACGCCTGACATCACATGATGTCACCATTGAGTGTTCTGTAATTGTTTCAGTATTGTCGAGAAGATTGAGAGAAGATATACGTAGTGTGTTAATTAATTCCTCTCAGTCAGTGTTCTCACATGTTAGTGTACAGCATGTACACTAACGTGTGTGTAAAGTTTCCGTGTCCAGTGAGGTCTGCGGCCAGACCTGAGTAGCACCACTGTGCTAAGTCACCCGATGTGACCAGTGCGTTTGACAGTTATCAGTCAGCTCTGAATGTATGAGCCCCATTTGTGCAGAAAGTTTTTATGCTCGTCGCTCGTGATGTTCTGCAGAATTGTACCTGCTACGATTCCCATCGAGATTTGTTTCACTTCACCTCCAGACCTTCAGAATGCAGTTATATGTAGAGAAAAGTCTGGGGACGCTTAGACTAACCTCTGCTTTAACTCCAACTGCCGAGAGAATGACACTCGTCAAGCCGCAGTTAGCCCTGTCGGCAGGCGCTGTGTCAGCCTCGTGTCACAAACTTCAGTGAGCAGCCTGCACAAAGATGTCACTTTGACTGCTAGCTCTCTCACTGCAGTCTGGTGTATGATGTTATGACTCCCAGATGTTTCGCCCAGTCGTCTCTGCCGCGACTTGCTCCACAACTCGCTCCACGCTCGCCGGCAGTGACAGCCCAGTGACAGTACCAGTCGAGAAGTGTCTGCCTGAGTCGCTTGCCAGAAGTCCTGCCCAGTTGCCGAGTTTTGTTGACGTCTCACTCGAGGGCACCAGCATGTCGTGCCCCAGGTTGAATGAAAACCTGCAGTGACTCCTACGATGACTGCTTCACCTTTCTAGAGGAGACCGTACCCTGTTACGTCACAGCTCAGCCGCAGCGATGTCTCCTGTGTTGCAGTATCTGTCCAGACGCAGGAAGGCGTGCAGTGATGCCCTTCGACGCTCACTGCCTATGACCACTATGTTTAGCACACCCCACATGTTTTTTCTTCCCTCTGCAGGAATTTTTTTTTCCATGTCCATATGTATATATATGTTTTTATTTTGTGTTCTGTGCCCTGTTCCTACAAGAGACCGAGTTTCTTTTACCACCAGTATTGTTGCGTCAGGACGATGCGAGGTAGGTGGCCGAGCGTATGTAGACAGCCTGTACTGTCTGCACAGACAGCCTATGCTGTCTGCCAGCTTAGTTCATATTTCGCACCATGCTGGTGCTGCCACCTATAGGCGTTGCCACTTCAGCCTGCCTGCTCTTACCACGCTCTCACTCTGGCGACACCCATCACTCAGTCAAGAACTGTCCACTCCTCTCTCCCTCGTGGGCATGGCCTACCCGGGCCATGGGCACAACACACAAGCCTGTGTACCCACCACGACTTAAATAAAGTAAGAAGCCTCCGAAGAAGTTTATCATGTACTCCCTGCTACCAGAACGCCAAACAAACGGGTTATACCCCCCACCTTTTCAAGATTTTCACATCTTAAGCTCCTCCTCTCCACATGATAAAGCTCTTTCCTCCTTTCACTCTGCATCTGCCCTCTTGCACTGCCTCCTATCCAGCTCTTCACCTACCCTCAACTTCGGGCTCCCGTCATATGCTTTCATACAAACTTTCTTGAATACTTACGAACTGTACTGCTGCTCGGATGTAACAGGTGTTGCTGGAGTCTTTGTATAGCTTCTAAAGGCTGAATACTGCTGGTGTAAAGGTGTGGTTTCAACAAGAGGCTCCCTTATCCGCCAGGGCAGGCTCGTTGCTCCTACCTCTCCCATGACTGCTTGTGAAGGGCTCTGTACAGTATGAAAGCCACTCGTCACACAATCGGGTACCTCTGATTCTTTGTCACGCAAGGATTGTTGCTGAAGAAATTTTCCTGAAAGAAATACTGTTAATGTACAAAATAAAGTGGACGACTCATTTTCACCACTAAGCAGCAGGAAGGATTTTTGAATACATCTCTGTTTGACTGTCATCCTTGAACTCCATAGCAAAATTTTAACTTCATGGTAGATATTTTATTTTCCTTGAAGAGCAATTCATCTGTGTACTTTCCAGTTGTGCATTCTGAGAAGCTATTATATAAAAAAGTTGTAGATGCTGGATTAAAGGTTGATATGCACAGTAGTACAACTAAAGTATTTTGGAATGTGGCTTTGTTAAACTATCAAATGTCAAAGAGATTATGCAGTATAAGAAAAACATCCCATCAAAATTTAATTTTAAAAGCAAGATACTGTAGTTAGAGGCATTTTTTTTTTTTAACAGTTCTAATACGACTCCATTTAATTATTGAACTATTATATATCAAAGAACAGAGGAGTCAAAAATAGAATGCCCTCAGTTACTATTCACTAACAAATTGTTACACTGACTCCTACTAGAAGAAAAAGTCATGTTGTTCAATAAATCATCTTTATAAATATCATTAATATTACTGGTTACAGTACCTGAAGATTTAGCCAAGGAAAAAATACTGGGAAAATATTTTAGCAAGATTCTAATGTGCCATCTTTATTCTATCACCATAACTGATATTGACTTGCTAAAATTTTTGTACTGTAACAAAATAACCTATCTCAGAACATTCCTAAGCTCATAACCATATTTTACTTCCTTCAAGGAAGGTGGGAGGAATATATAGTACATATTTTTGCAACCAAAATTGTTTCTCTATGAAGCATAAATTCAAAGACAATAGTAAGCTATGAATGTATTTAATACTTGAAAATGTTGGCATAATCCCACTTACCACATTTAATTTTGGGAGATCCTTCCTTTTCTGAACTCTTGCCAAAGCTACAATTTATTTTGTTCCCAAACACATCTTCACCATCTAACCTCTTTTTGGCCCTGAAACAAGCCAAATTTTGGATGCTAGAATAGGGCCAGTACAAAATGTACATGAAATATACTTTACAATGAACACTGTTTACTACCAAATTCATCAAAATCAAGAAGTCGACTATACTGTATAAACCATAAAACTAATAAACCTAACCGATGAGTTGATCTGCAGTCCTGTCACAAATACAAGTAAATGTTAGGTGCCATTGTAAGGAACTGACGTCCTTCAACTATAACTTAAGTTTTGGTTGTGTGTTTGAGCCTAAGTTCTCTCACACATTGAAGCTAAATAATAGGATATCCTCACTATACCTTTACTGTGGTGGGTATTGTAAGAATAAGAGGCACAATTCAAAGTTTATTCTCTATAAGGATTACAATGCTGAGTTTACAGAATTTGGTTATTGTGTGGTTTACATGTAGTAAAATATTAATTACAGAGGGGGGCACTAGAACACCTAGCATGGCTAGGCATTTCGGGCAGACTAAGATTAATTCTTAACTTTAAAATATTACAAATTATGAGGTAAGTTGGTATTATGGCTATGTGACTAAATACTAGTTTGTGAGTTTAGCAATGTGAATGCTTTTGTTTTGGAACAACACATAGTTGGGTCCAAAAACTAGGCACCAACATTATAAACGTAAGTTATTGATAGATTAAAAGCTGCTAACCACACAAAGGTCATTTAAAGTACAAATAGATGGTAAAAAAAAAAATCAAAAGTCTGAAGCTACAGCGATAGACAACTCGCTTTTCTATAGATAAAATCAATAGACTTGCACATTATTTTATAATCAATTGAGGGAATTAGCGTGCATCATGGCAACAATGTTTAAAAAAAGAAAAAAAGTATTTGGAAATAAAGAAAATCCAGGTTCTTAGTAAACTGCATTATGGTAAACTTTGACTTTTACAAAGACATAAAATAAATAAATAAAAAGTCTACAATACTCTACATCCAGGTTTCCTTCATTACCGTTAGGTATAAGCTGGATTGGAATTATATTCATGGGGAGGGCTAAACCCGTAGGCGTCATGCAGAAGGGGGGGGGGGGGAGATGGAGACATCCAAGTTCAAGGGCAGGTCCTATTCATTGGACCAAGAGTCCATCACCAACATCAAGGACCTTCCCTTGAATGGTTCAACGTTGGAAGCAGCAGTAACAACGAAGGAATAACTGAATAAAACAAGATAATGAGGCAAAAAATCAGTAGATGGCACTTAACATATACCAAGATCACAATTATTATTATAATAATCAAGGGGGAAGCGCTAAACCCGGAGGATTATACAGCGCCTGGGGGGGGGGGATGTGGAAGGCATTCAGGCTTAATTCGGGGAACTGGAGCACGGATCCAATTCCCTAAATCAAGAGCCCCTCACCAACATCAAGGAACCTTCCTTGAGGGGCCAAGATCACAAACTGCTACCATGACACGTCCATAGGTAACCACTGATCAAAGTTTCACATACACGAGGATTTACTAATAAAGATCTCCTTTTGATATTTTTTTTCCCCTACTACTTGACAGTAAACGTCAACCATTTTGCTAGAACGTCAGCACTTTTCACACAGTGAAGTAGCAATAATGAAAGCAGCAAGATACCTAATAAATCACGCTAGTGAATGGTATTACACTATTGGTTATAAATGGAAAAAATTAAATGGGTGGAGGAGTAAGCCTATGGAAGGCCTCGGTCAGATGACCAAAAGCTACAGCGGCGGATCAGGAAACACCTGTCCTGTTTCCTGACCGAATTTACCTAAGCTAGTGAACGAAGCAAGATAGTCTATGTCACCTACCACACATCGAGGTAACATCCTTCTAACATGTCACCACTTATCACGATGATAAAACGTTGTCAGCAGTTGTAGTAGGTGTTGTTGCTGCTGCCAGCACCTCCCCACACACCACTACCACCACGTGCTCTCCACCCTCACCTCCAACAACTTATTACTTCCCTATGATCCCTCACTAGTTACCTCGGCCTCACCCAATCAAAACTCGACTCCACTTATTATCGTGATGCCTCAGCCAATCAGCACTCACTTCCATTGCTTGCTACGCCATCTTAACCAATCAGGATTATGGCAGCATATATGGGGGAGCGCTAAAACCGTGGGAATGGGGGGATGACAAGCAATTGGATTCAATCTTAAAAGCGTAGCTCTAATTCCCCGGATCAAACACACAGGACTTGGATCAAACTCACCCTTTAAAAGGAAGGGGGCTGGGGGGGGGGCACTCATGCAACGAAAGCCTCTTGATATGAGGAACTGGAATTACCCTTCCATACCGTAGATCAAACCTGATTAGACTTACATTCAGCAAGAACTACACGGCCCTTACAGATTTAGAGCTTCCCCATTTTTTTATATTAAATGCTTGTTTCGGTGACTGGAATGCGAGGAACGCATCCTAAAGCCCAACCCCAGAATATGCTAACAGCTATAAGAAACTTTTCCCAGCTACAGTACACTAATTCTAAAGTTACGAACGAAAAATTTGGAGAAGAAAATAAAAGCAGGCAACCAATTCCCCCCCCCCCTTCCATAGGTATACCCATGGACCGTTGGGATACCTAATAATAACACTGAAATCATTCGAAGTAGGAATGAGGTGGTTTCTTACAGCTGAAAATTAACGAAAGCATTAGCCCAGTTATAATCATGGGGAGCGCTAAACCAGTAGGGATTATACAGCGCCTGTCGAAGGGGGGTTATGGAAGGTATTGAGACTCAATTCTGGGAACTGGAGCACAGCTCCAATTCCCTAGATCAAGAGCCCCTCACCAGCATCAAGGAACCTCCCTTGAGGGGATTAGCCCGGTTAATACAAACTATATTAAAAAATCTCGGGATATGTGAATACTGGACTTTTCAAAAAAGCTTTAACAAAAATCTCAGCAGAGGTTATCACAAAACGCCGACGAGGCTACCCAGGCAAACGTCTAACACCTACCTTTAGTGTAGCACATTCTGATATCACACATCACTGAAGCACCCAACTAGTACGTTCTAACATCGCTGAAGAAGCACCTAGCATGTCCTAGCATCGTTGAAGCAGGCACCTAGCACGTCCTGACATTGCTGAAGCACCTAGCACGTCCTGACATCATCGTTGAAGCAGGCACCTAGCGCGTCCTGACATTGCTGAAGCAGCACCTAGCACGACCTGACATAGCTGAAAAGCACCTAGCACGTCCTGACATTGCTAAAGAAGCACCTAGCACGTCCTGACATTGCTGAAGCACCTAGCACGTCCTGACATTGCTGAAGAAGCACCTAGCACGTCCTGACTTCGTTGAAGCAGGCACCTAGAACGTCCTGACTGCTGAAGAAGCACCTAGCACGTCCTGACATTGCTGAAGAAGCACCTAGCACGTCCTGACTTCGTTGAAGCAGGCACCTAGCACGTCCTGACTGCTGAAGAAGCACCTAGCACGTCCTGACTTCGTTGAAGCAGGCACCTAGCACGTCCTGACATTGCTGAAGCAGCACCTAGCACGACCTGACATAGCTGAAAAGCACCTAGCACGTCCTGACATTGCTGAAGAAGCACCTAGCACGTCCTGACTTCGTTGAAGCAGGCACCTAGCACGTCCTGACACTGCTGAAGAAGCACCTAGCACGTTCTGACATCGCTGAAGAAGCAACTAGCCCGTCCTGACGTCCTGACATTGCTGAAAAAATACCTAGCACGTCCTGACATAGCTGAAGAAGCACCTAGCACGTCCTGACATCGCTGAAGCACCTAACACGTCCTGACATCGCTGAAGAAGCACCTAGCACGTCGTGACATCGCTGAAGAAGCACCTAGCACGACCTGACATCGCTGAAGAAGCACCTAGCACGTCCTGACAGCTGAAGAAGCACCTAGCACGTCCTGACATAGCTAAGAAGCACCTAGCACGTCCTGACATCGCTGAAGAAGCACCTAGCACGTCCTGACATTGCTGAAGAAGCACCTAGCACGTCCTGACATAGCTGAAGAAGCACCTAGCACCACCTGACATCACTGAAGAAGCACCTAGCACGTCCTGACATCACTGAAGAAGGCACCTAACAATCCTGACATTCCTGAAGCAGGTACTTAGCATGTCCTGATATCGCTGAAGCAAGCACCTAATAATCCTGACAAAACTGAAGCACCTAGTACATCTTGACATTGCTGAAGCAAGCAATAATCCTGACATCAATGAAGCAAGCACCTAGCACATCTTGACATTGCTAAAACAGGCACCTAACATGTCCTGACATCGCTGAAGCACCTAATAATCCTGACATCACTTAAGCAATCATCTAATAATCCTGACATCACTGAAGCAAGCACCTAGTACGTCCTGACATATCTGAAGCATCTAACAATCCTGACATCAATGAAGCAGGCACCTTGCACGTCCTAACATCACTGAAGCACCTAGCATGACCTGACAGTGCTGAAGCACCTAATAATCCTGACATCACTGAAGCATGCACCTAGCATGTCCTGACATCACTGAAGCAGGCACCTAGCACGTCCTGACATAGCTGAAGAAGTACCTAGCACGTCCTGACATCACTGAAGAAGCACCTTGCACATCCTAACATCACCTGGAGTTTACCTGGAGAGAGTTCCAGGGGTCAACGCCCCCGCGGCCCGGTCTGTGACCAGGCCTCCTGGTGGATCAGAGCCTGATCAACCAGGCTGTTACTGCTGACTGCACGCAAACCAACGTACGAGCCACAGCCCGGCTGGTCAGGAACCGACTTTAGGTGCTTGTCCAGTGCCAGCTTGAAGACTGCCAGGGGTCTGTTGGTAATCCCCCTTATGTATGCTGGGAGGCAGTTGAACAGTCTCGGGCCCCTGACACTTATTGTATGGTCTCTTAACGTGCTAGTGACACCCCTGCTTTTCATTGGGGGGATGTTGCATCGTCTGCCAAGTCTTTTGCTTTCGTAGTGAGTGATTTTCGTGTGTAAGTTCGGTACTAGTCCCTCTAGGATTTTCCAGGTGTATA